CTGATGCGGTTGCTCCTTTAAAGGAGACTGGGAGGACCTGCCACAGCGATTCCCATCATGTTAGGGAGAAAAAGGAGACGAAGCCTGGAAGGGCTGCGTGGCTGAGCTGTGGGCAACGAGGACCCCCGGAGCAGGAGGTCACCACACGCGCCACGAGCGGACGCGCGTACACATGCTCCCGCAGGGAACCACAGTGGACTCGGGCCTTCACCGACATGTCGTGACAGCCCCACGAACATGCTAGCTCTGTCTAGCTTTGCCCTTGTCCCTCCCAGGGACCCTCCGAGAGTGGGCCGCAGGGTGAATCTAAGCGAGGTGATTACCTCACCCCTCCATCTCCGAGGAGGGGTCGCGATCCCACAGGGAACTTCAGCTGTCGCGATAGGCCCGGTGGGGGAAGGAAGACCGAGGATCTCCCCCAACGGCGGGCGGCTGCAGCCCGCACCGTGTGTCTGCGGGAGAGGGATAACACCCAGCCCGCTGCCCGCGCTCACCTGCCGGCACGAGAGGCGGCCGCGACTCCCCCTCAAACCCAGCCACGCCCGCCGCTCGCTTCCATCGCCCCGGCCGGCGGCTCCACCAAGCCCCGGGCCCTCCCTTCCGGCACCTTCCCTAGCAACTGCGACGCGCCGGGGCGGGACTTCCGAGGCGGTGACGGCGGCAGGGAGAGCTCGGTTGCCAAGGAGACACGCGGCGGCCGCCATCTTGTCTCCGTAGCGGGGAGACCCGATGCTAGCAGGGCGTGTTGCGACAGGACGAGGGGTGATGGTTTTAAACTAAAAGAGGGGAGATTCAGGCTGGATGTCAGGAAAAAAATACAACAAGGATGGTAAAATACTGTCACAGGTTGCCCATAGAGGTGGTGGATGTGCTATCCCCAGAGACATTCAAGGTCAAGCCGGATGTGGTTCTGGGCAACCTGATCTAGTTGAAGATGTCCCTGCTCATTGCAGGGGTGCTGGACAAGATGAACTTTGAAGGTCCCTTCGAACCCAAACTACTCTATGATTCTGTGATACCTAAAATTACACAGGGCCTCCCACACCAAAGCTCAAGTCCTTGTCTGCGCACATCAGGTGCAAGGAGGTTCATCGCCATATGGCTGCAGAAATATCTTCTCTTGTATTGATACTGTTCTGAGGAGATGTGAATTCTGCCTCAAATTACCAACAACTGTGATTCATGGTGAAAACTGGGTGAGAGAAGTAGTACCTAAGCATTAGTGCCTGTGCAAAGAAGCCCAGTTTACATACACAAAATTCCTTCCAAAAAGAGATGTATATTAAGGTTACTGACATCACACGATAGGCTCAATGCAAAGCAATAATAAGGTATTTAATGAACTCCAGAGATCTGAAGAGTCTCTATGGAAAAAATAAATTGCTCATTCTGTAAGACAAATTGCTGATTAAAAAAAAATTTAGATCCATCAAGGCAGTAGCTGAATTAAGCCGTTTGCAGTGTGTTGGCTACAGCAAATAACTGATATGAACCTGTATTTCCTAAAAGCCTTAATTCCCCAAGTAATCTGAAGATAATAAATATGCTTTATGATTTACCAGATCATCTTATGGTAATAGTCTCAGTTTCAAGGATGCAAAGAAATAGTTAAATTTACAAAGAAATAGTTAAATTTAATAATTCATATAACTGGAGCTATTGAATATTCCCTAGCTTAACTGAAAGAAGCAGAAAATGCAGAATCCTTCATTCACGTGCAGTGGAAATTTTCTGGCACCACATCACCTCTGACAGCAGAAGAGAACATGCTGCAGTATTCACAGCCTTCTTCTAACCAAGAAGGTACGTCTGCTGTGACAGCCAGCAGCAAGAAAAGGAAACCTGATTCTTCTCTTTGCCATCAATCCTTTTTTTTTGTCCTTGCATCCATCATACCTCAGGGGAAAGCTGAAAAAGTACCACTTTGGAAATATATTAAATAATTCATTAAGGACAGAAACACGTTTTGTTGTTTTGTTTTGTTTTTTTTTTAACGTAAGAGTCTTTTAGCTTAGTTCAACAGTCCTTAACTGAAGTTACAGTTCCATGGCATAAAAAGCTATTGTTTTGCTGTCTCTCTGACAATTACATCAACAGTGTTACATCAAAGCTAGTAATAGATGCTCTAGTTTTTCATGCATCTCCACTTTGTAACATTATTGTTCCAACAAGGGAAGTCAGGGAGAATTTGAGAGCAGCTCAATAATGCTTATTATTTTATCAGGAAATGCTGTAGTAGCATCAATGCACTATCTTTGCAACAGAAATCACTCATATGATGACATTTGCTTGTTTTATTTTAAGCTTAAGTCAGCTCAATTAAACAAGGTTACCTGTATGTACGAAACTAAGCCTGGTTTCAGGAAGGGAACTGTTACTGATGTGAAGCAAAGTAAACACTAAATCTGAAATATCAGAACTGGTAAATAGGACAAATCCTTGGCACAAAGTAATATTACCAAGGTTAATTTCCCTTTTATTGTACTTTGGAGGCAATTTTTATCTAGCCAATTGCATGTGTAAATGTAAACACCACCCTCACACGACACACTCCTTGGCATGAGTTGGAAGATAAGCACTGTCATGCTCGGAAGATGGGAGAGAAGGATGTTCCAAGGAGGATCATTATGTGTAGTGCACAAAGCAGTGGGCTGTGTAAGTGTATATACACACACACACTTTTCTACATTTAGAAACTTAGCTGCAAAAGTCTGTGGACATCCCAGCTTCAGGTGGAGTGCTGTATCTGTGCTACCATTCTGCTCCTCCTGGTGTTTACCTTCCCTCACACTGAGATGAGATCATACTATAAATAGAGGGCAAAGTCCACTCTCAAGCATTAATCAGTGATGTCTCCTGTTTGACATGACAATAAAGTGTGGAGCAACAGGGGGTTTGGGTTCTTTAAATCTCTTCTAGTGATGGGTGATAGATACCAACTGAATCGCTCACAACACTGTTATCAATAGTGAAAAACACTTGAAGTCCCCTGACCTCTCTAAACTTTTTTTTTTGCAAGAAGTCAATAGGATTTGAGTAAGTCTCAAAAAAAGTCTCTCTCTTTAACCCCTCAGGAGCTCTGCTCTGGCTGCGCTGCCATGGCTTCTCCTTTCGGTCCCCCACTCTCCTCCCCAAGCTCCCTGGGGACCGTTGGGGATGCCTGCTCATCGCAGTTGCTTCTGCTACACTGAATGAAGAGGAAAACCTGCTCCTCCCTGTTGAAAAGTGAACAGTACCACAGCATTCCCAACATTTTAAAGAGTATCTTGAAATTATGATGTATTGAAGCCCAAAGGGATTCTTGAGCAGCACAGATCTCGCCACTGAAACCAAAACTACCCCGAAGCCCACAACGAAGGTGGGCTCCAGCACGCTGGGGTGCTGAGAAAACCACACGGGCCCACCTACAGCCAGCCAGTTGGAAAAGGGGTCCATGGGCGAAACAGGACGGCAGGGCCTGGTCCTGCACTTGGCATCTCCACCGGTGAGAGCACAAAGATCATGTCCCGTCATGTCCCGTCACCGAGGAGGGGCTACCCCACTACGGTGACTGTTGTCCCCCCGAGGGGCTTCCACCTCGGCGCCCCCAACCCCGCCGCCGCAGACGAGCCCGGCGGCGCCAGCGCGGCCGTGCTGCCTCCGAGGCCCTCCTTATCCGTCGGCAGCGGCCGCCCGGCAGCGGATCCGGCCCCGTGGGCGCGGCGGGTTTCCCCGGCGGGGCGGAGCGGAGCGGAGCGGGCCGGGGCGGGCAGACAATAGAGGCAGTCTACGAGTGGCGCCGCGGTGAGTGGCCGTCGCGGAGGGGCCGGGTTGGGGGGCGCGGGGATCTCTCTCTCCTGACGCCGGTCTGTGTGCCCGCAGGGCGGCGGTGGCGGCTTCCAGCGCGGGGCGCCGAGTGGAGCCGAGCCGAGCCGAGGTGAGGTGAGGTGAGGTGAGATGAGCGGCGGGTCCCGGCGGGAAAGGGGTGGTGCGGTGCGGTGTGGCACGGCACGGCACGGCACGGCAGAGCCTTTGCCTGGGGAGGGAGGAGCGGGGAGGAACCCGCCGGGATCTCCCGGGAAGACCCGGATTGTGGTGCCGGGGACTGAGAGCGGCCGGCGGTCCGGAACCCGAGACTTCACCTGCGCGCCTGCCCCCACGGTGTGGGCGTTCTATATACCGGCCCTGGGGGAATCCCGGCAAGTTTCCACGGGCAGCCCTATCCCATGCACCTCTGCCGGCTCTGGCGCCGCAACATCTTTGACCCCCGGAGGGGAGATCGGCGTCTTCTAGAACATACGCCGTGCGGGGGGTGAACACCGTGAGCGGAGCGGGTGGCGGGAGCCGCCGGGTGCACCGGCCCTGCGGCGGGAGGCGCCGTAGCGCGAAAGCGCGCGTAGGCAACGAGCTACCTGTCCTGGCTGCTCAACCTCCGGGAGGGACGTGCGTTGTGTCCGTGAGCCCTTCCAGATGATGTTGTGGGACGCTCCGTGTTCGGTGTTCGGCTGCTACCGTCTAAGCAAATAAGCGAAGTACGTGTGCTTTCACTCTTAGCAAAGCAGGAAACAGCCCTCAACATAAGTCTGAGATCCACAGTAGGATGTATAGCAGAATGTGGCACTGATAAACATTTTTAAATATTCCTGAATAACTCATTTTCTGTATCTGTATACGTTCATAACAGTGCTACTGATAACAGGACTGATGTGCAACAGCAGAGAGGGATAAAGAAATCTGTACGGCAGTATATGTAATGTTTAAGTAATTTCACAAGGAGTGATTACAGGTGCACGGTGAATTCTGTGATTAAAAAGATTTCTAGATGCAGAGTGATTTCTAAATTGCAGAGTATTAGCCAGAGTCTGTGCTAGGCAGTATCAGACGTATGTACAACATTGTAATTTTCTCTCATGGGTACATCGCCAGATTTATTTTGAGTTTTGTGGTTATGATTAGTTATTTTTTCTTATTACCATTTAATGTATGTCAGTTGAACGGGAGTTAGGACTGAGCATAATGAAGAAGAAAATCAATCTTTATTCAAGGCATTTGATCTGATGTCAGAATGTCACCTCTGTAGAGACTCTGCCTCTCTTGAAAGAAGAAATTTAAGAAAAGTGCCTGCTTCACCTGGTCAGTAGGTGTCTGGTAGCGCTTTTTAAGGATTCTTTGTATCAATAGGCCATTGACAGTAAGACCATTTGGAGAGAAGTAATTAAAACTGAATGCGCTCACCTTCTTCAGGGTAACTGCCTGCTAGCCAAAGCCAGAGCTTGATCCTGCGGTTACCAAAGGGAGTAGTAAAACCCCTCCAAATGCAGTAAGGATCTGAAATGAAACTGGAAAGCCAAATACTGAAATCAAAGTATGAGTAAGGGCTACAAATCTACAAAAAGAAAATGAGTGTAGAACATAGCGTTTGAAGAAATACAGTGCTGTACTGGGGCAAGATGACTCCCGTGCATAAAATCTTGTTTTGTTTGCTCTTCATTTGGTTTTATACATTTGCTTTATTTAACAAGACACCCTATTTTTATTGTTAATTCCACTGTCTGCAAGATGTGTGGAATATACCTTACCAATGGGAACCTGGTAATTAATTTTATTATATAGTTAATATTATTTTAGTTTTATTATTTTAAAGTTTTAATAGTTATTAATAGCTTTAATACTTAATTTTAATAATTCTAGTCTATTTTAATTGTAATTAATTTATTAATTAGTATTTTTACCACTAAAATATTGTAGGTGAACTAGGATTATAAATCATAGTAATTTTATTGCAGTGTTTGACTTACTACTGTCAGTATTTTACCAATACAGGAAGCCTAAGTAAAACTGAGAACAGTATGCATTTAAATTCTTTATACAGACATGCAGAACAAGAAAGAGAGCATAAAGAGTGAGTTAAGTTCTTAGACTTAGGGTTACACCACCTGCGTATCAAGAATTAATCTCATTTTCCCAGTCTCACAGTAGTAGGTGGGATTGTGGAGGTGTCTGTAGGGAGAAGACCACCAAAGGTCATAGAAGATGCTGAGTTTTCTGATGAGTCCAATTAGGAGTCCCTGTAAAATGGGACAGGCTGCAGGTGTGAGGTGGCACTACATGACAGCATGTGTGCTGTGCTGAGCAGTGCTGAGGGAAAATGGCAGCCCATAGCTATCTCAAACATGCCAGCTTGCTAAGAATATGAATGAGCAGGTTTAGATTAATGGTACTGTTTGGTCTGTTGAAGCTAAGCATCTGCCTAAATATTTTATACATTATGACCTTGGCGATCAGCATCCTTTAATCCTGCTTGCTGAGGGTGCTAGCAGGCTCATTGCAGGCACTTCACCCTTCAAGTGGAGGGGATGGTAAACAAGGTCTCTTAAGTACATCAGATTTCTATTTTTATTTTTTTCCCAATTTGAATGAATGAATGTTAATGTCAGATTGAAGTATTCCAATTTTATTATGTATCTGTATTAATAATTATGAGCACTGCATGAATTTTTCTGCATACCAGTAACAACTTTTTTATCTGCATCATTCTCTTTAGGAGATTTAAAAAATAAGTCTAAGATACAAAATTTTAGAATAAATATGAACAAAGAAACATTTTCCATAGCTTTATGGTTCATTCATGGATTATTAAACTATATACATTGTCGTACTTACCTCCTACAGCTTAGCCATGCAATTTGGGTAACAATTTTAAACAATTCTTATTTATCAAAAGAATTTTGACCTGTTGGTGAGACTGAGAAGTACAAAGGTCAGAAGATGTTTTGAAAAGGAAATGTAAATGTTACAGCAGAAGCTTTCTGACAGAATCCAAACCTTAACTCTTTGTGAACAAGTAGAACAAAGGTGACATCCCTGAGATATGTGGTGCTGTCACAAAACAAAAATCTGAGTGTGGCAGAAAAATCTTTTTTTTTTTTAAATGGAAATGGTTAGTTTCAGTTTGGTATCGATATATATTTCTCTTCAATGTTCTTGGTTTTTCCTATAAAACTGTGTGGAAGCTTAATGTTTTCCTGCAGACACCACCCTTACCTCCCCCCTTGTTTCTCTCGAGTATTTAGAGGTGGCTGAAATAAGTTTGGGAGCACTGAAGGAAATCAATAGACTCTTCAAAGAAAGTTAAACTATTTTTGTAGGCTTATCAAATCACAGGTTTTTAATGTGGACATAACAGTACTATCTACTTTTCAAGGTGGAAACCTTTTGTTTTTCTCCACAGTCATACATTAAATGTCACCATGAGGACTAGTGTTTTCTGAGTGCTCTAGCAGACAACATGCTAATGTTGATGATGCATAAAAATCTTGAGAGATTCTTGAAGTCTTGACTTAGAATTTCAGTCAGGGCCCCTTAAACATTTTCAGCAGACTGAAATAGAAAATCCGTGTGCAAGATCTTTACTATAAAAGGTTTCCTCCATTTGAAGTTTGCTGTATGCATTTCTTTCTCACCTGAGGTCACAGGACTTACTTAAGGAATACATTTTTTTTTACTTTTAAATATAATCAAATGCTTCTTTCCTATCCTGTGTTGAGGTAACAAACCCTGTGTTAAGTTTCCAGTGAAGGAATTTTGACTTGCTGACCATAAAAACATAAATGAAATAAAATGCAAGAAGTAGAGTGTATTTTGTAGATTTACAGAAGTGTGCCTTTAATAGCTGTTTGAGGCAATATGAAGAAGTGTTTATGCATAAATAGTCTCCAAGGTCATTGATGTTAAGCTGACTGGAAATACAGGATGAGACAAAGAATTAATTTATCTTTGGTCCTTGACTTGATACTGCTTTAAGAGTTAATCCAGCAACCTGGGTTAACTAGCCTGCACTATCCAAAACCGAGTGACTTAACGTTTCATATTTCTAAGAGAAACTGCTGTTGCTGATGACTACCTTGCAGTGCTTTGCTGTCAGCCGTGGTGGTTCAGGAGGCTGGCCCGTGGAAGCCCAGGTGTCCCTACAAGAGAAGGGGCAGAGATACCTTGTAGGCACGGCTGCAGTTCCTACGCCTGTGTGCTGCCCATGGTTTACACATTCTGTCCTGTAAGGGAGGAGGAGAGTCAACAGGCAAGGGTCATAGGAGAGCCCAGAACTTAAAGAAAATAAACCAAAAACTTCCTGGGATTCTGGAGTGTATTTTTCCTCACTACAGCACCCTGGGAGTCCAGAATTCCTGTTTCTGTGAGATCTCAACTAGCTCTTAATCTCTCAGTCATCTTATCAGAATTGTCCTTGTGAAATGGCATAGAGATTTGTATTTGCAACAGGGAGGATGGTGTCATGTTTTGAAGGAGTTTGCTATGGATTGGAGGTTATATATGCAAACAACCAAGCCTCTATTTATTTTTCATTTAAATTTAGTTTGCATGGGCAGCTGGTAGAATCTGAAACAGTCTGAGATACACTTTGATACCTCGAGAGGAAAAAGATGAGGGTCTTATGTGGCAATCCATATTTATGTATGTAGGTGCTTGGAATTTTGAGCCTGAACACTGACATTAGATTACTGGTAGTTGTTCTATACTTTCAAAACCAGCTTTAAAACACACTAAATCACATACTGTAATTATTAACAGCTTTACTGTGTCATGTCTGCATAAAATTCTTAAAATTGTACATGCAAGACAAAGTATACATAAATTACGCTATATGTAAGTCATAAAATACATGAAGATAATACATAAATTGTAATTAATGCATTCAGTACGTTATACTGAAGTATCATTGTGTTTGTCTTAAAAAGTATTACCACAGCAAATCTAATTAAACTGACTACAAGTAGATTTCAGGACCATTTGTTTTCCCCAACTCACCTGCTGGCATACTTGGTTTAGCAATGTGCTCCTTTTTCAAGATTTGTGTTCTCTTTTGCTAGGTAAAAAAAGCCACAAATAGAAAAAACTGATACTGCAAAGTAAAGAAAGTGTCAACATACCTTTTCTACCAAAGGTACTTCATTATTCAGTCTTAATTCTGTTCATAAAAGCCATAATTTCCATCATATAATTGGGCATTTTAGAGGGCTGTTTGGTTTTTGATATAAATTTGGATCTAGGCTTCTATGCAACAAAACATTAAGTAAGCATTTAACTTGAAATATATTGTTTATTCTGCTGAAGGCATTTCATTATTGAAACTAAGCTTTTAGCTTGCTTGCTCAAAGCCTTTCAGAGAAGCAGAAGCTTTTTGGTCTGGTTGGCTAATTTGGAAATGTTGTTTGTCACTGTCATAGGATTCTCCTGCCACCTCCTCAGAGGCATTGTGAGGACTCTGTCGTGGTCACTTGCTTTCTAAATCACAAGCCACTACTCATGCACATGTAAAACCTCTTCGTTTCTGTAAACCAAAATCAGTTTGCCTTTCTTTCTGTATTAATGAGAGAAAGGAAAGTGTGAGATGAGGGATAGAAGATCAACACATCCTCCTGCTTTGGAGAACCAGAAGGGCTTGTGGAGTGTCACGCACACTCCTTTTGCCCAGTCCTGCATGGGTGCAGACTTGAGGAACAGAACAGATCCATATTAATGCACCTTTTACATGCATTTCTATATATATGTAGATTTTAAAAACAATGACAGAAATCAGTAAATGGTCTTGATTTGTTCCTTTCTTGCCAGGGAGGCAATTGCTAAGCTTTGCTTTGAACCTAAAGCAGACCCATCTTGTACGTCTCCAAGAAGTAGCCGTACCAGACTGCCTTTGCTGTATGTCTGTCCCGTAAAATACATTCTAAATCCCCTCTTTGTTGGCTTGCCCTTACATCGAGACAACTTGTGGGCAAAGCCAGCATACCAGGCTGCAGCTGAGTTGAGCAGAGCATGAGCTACGACAGCTCCTTTTTTAGCCTGTGGGAGAAGGTATTATCCTAACAGGTGTGAGGTAGCATATGTTGTGCTTTGGGCTTCTGTTGTGGCATTGTTTGTTTACACGTCTGAGTTCTGTAGTGCACTGACTTACTACAGGTCTTTTTCAGAAGACAATTTTCATTTCATAGATACAGACATTTCCATTGTATGGGCCCATGAATTTGAAACTAGCATCCAGTCTAGAAATGAAATAAAAAGAAAATACCTTTTTTAGATTTTTTCTTTTCTTCACAATGCACAGTTGTAAAGGCTAAGAACAGTTAGCCTAGTTATGCAATAGACAATGGACTTTTTGTACTGGGTTTTAATACATTTTACTCACTATAGTACTTACTTTACTAGACACCTTTAATGACTTTATAAGCTATGAAGAAAAAATGTTAATGGGTTTCCATTTGTTTGAGTCTCCTTGTGGTGCTCACAGGCTACAGGAATGCATCACTACATACTTAGATGTTTACTTTGTACGCGTGACCATACAGTTGGGTTGCTTAACCTTGAAAAGTCCAACACTACATCCTTTGACTGTTTCTCTGTGCAGTCCACAGAGACTAACGCTATCTAGAGAGCTGACACTTTGCATGTCCAAGTGAGTACTTTGGCCTTGCTCAGCCATTCCCAGTTTCTCATTCATGGATCTTCAGGACCCTCTGGAGCTCCTGCCTGAGTTTTGGTGGAGGTCTCAAACCAGGAGCTGCCCTGGGTGATCCAGTCTGTACTGCAATAGCATGTGTTGCATCAGACCTTGCACAAAAAATGGACAGGGGTGCACTTGTGGGAATGTGATTAGTCATTGACCACCACTACATCCAGTAACCCAGTGGTCTAGATGATCCCCTGGGAAATAAGGAGAGTCAGTTCAAGTGCCCGCTGCAGTAAATACAGATTTATTTCTAGTGATAGAGTTTCACTGTGTGGTATGTTTTGAGCCTTTTCACCTGATTCAGAGCTACACAGTCTTTGGGGGTGACTGGGTATCATCTGGGAATCAGGTATGGTGCTGGATAGCTCAAAGGCCTTCTATGGACATTACCTTCTTTTTCATGAATTTTGTTTGGACTCGGGAGAGAGACACAGAGCAAAAAAGGAAGTGTTTAAAACAAGACAGAGTGTATCTTGAAGAAAATAAAGCATCTGAAACTACTCTTTTAAAAAATATTATCTTATTAATTAAGCCTTTTAACTCACCTGTAAAACACGTTCAGTTTCTGCCACTCCTATGTACAGATCCATAGGTACCCCCTTCAAAGAAAGCACTGTGGTATTTCTCCTCAGGAACAGATTTGGGTCATAAAACTCCCTCATAGTGGTTGCAATAAAATACAGAAGGCTTGACCCCAGCTCATCTTTGGCACTGCTAAACTACACAGCTCATCAGAAGTCTGGATGTATTTAAAATCCTAAATTGTAAACTTCTATATGAGTAAAGCAGAAATGCTACAAATAGAAGGAAGAAAACAGAATATTGAACTACAAACTCTATGGCACATGACAGTTCCTACCCAACAGAAATTAATCCATAGCATGCTTTTCCCCAGCCACATTAGTCATCAGTAATAGGAACAGTTCACTTCTGTAGGACAGTGTATTTTCATTTATTTAGTAACACATTTATGCATGTTTGCTTATGAAATAATGCATACACATTTATTCTTAATACTTCTGCTTTGTGGAAAATGTAAATTTCATCTAAATATTGAAAGAAGATCAAGGCTCCCTCAGGACACAAAGGCCCCAGCCTCATCCCGAGTGTAAAGCTTAAGGAAAAATTGCTTGCAGGACTGCAGAAACATGGCAAACCAAATCCCTGCCAAGCAGCGTTATGACAGCTACCTTTTGCTTGGTTTAGCTCCAACTCTGAGAAAATTTCATGTGAGTTTTATTCATTTGACCCGCAGAGAGCATGCTTAAAAGGAGAAAGGAATCCAGCCAGGAGGAATACAGCCAGGGGAAATCCCCTTTGTTGCTGTCCAGGATCACGCCACTGACAAAGGAGGTCAGTTCTCCAATGATGGAGCTGGAAGCAAAGAGATCATAAAAGAGCTGGCCAAAAACATGCCAGAGAAAAACAGAGCATCTCCAGAAGATTGTCGTTAAATTCATTATCAGGCAGCCTTGAGACAACAGGCAGAGCCTGTCAGCACAGCAAATGTTCAAGGGGCAGCAGGAGTGTTACCTGCCCAAGGGCATGCGTGTAGTTCGAAATAACCCCTGTCTGCAGCCCTGATGTCAGTTCTCTTGATAAGCCAAGTAAAACAACTGTAACGACTACAAAAACACCAGCTCCGCTTCAGGCTCTGCTGCTGGTGAACTGCACCTCTTCAGTGCTGTCGGGGAAATATTAGAGATGTGACACCTATACTGAAACCTGTTAAGTTTTGCCATTTTTTTCGCTGAGAAGAGGACCACATCCTATGAAGTACTTAGGTGCTACAGCCTGTATACTGGTTGTGAATAACTTTCTCATACAAGCAGGCAGCTTGACTGATTTTAGTGGTTCCTACTTTCTACCCTTCCATTTGGAAAGCTGCTTATCTGTTTAAATCTTTATTGTAGGCTCTTTCTGTGGTGAGCTGCTTGTAATTTCCATGGTAGCAGCCTCTAGCTGAAGAAGCAGCATAAACCAGGAGCTAAGTTAAAGACTTACAAAAACCCATTCAAATTGTCTGTATTCTACTTCGCTCTCCAGGGATCTTTTACTACCAGGCAGGTAATTGCAAACGGTGCCGGAAAGCATCTTATAGTAAGTGAAACTACTGAGAAACTATACTTATCTACACTAGCTATATTTACCTAGATTTTCCAATTTCTAGGCTGTTTTGAGCCAATAGGAAGTGACAGCCATCTAAACAGTGCATGCCTGAATTGCTGTACATCTGCTGGGTCACTGAAACTTTCCTTTGACTACTCTCAAAATAGTTACCTTTGCAACGCTTGTGTTCTGTCTGGGGAAGTAAAAAGGGTAACTTTAAGAGCGCATTAAACAATTTCCATCTAAACTGAAAAGCCCTTCTGTTACAAGAAGCCACAGGATTTTCTTTCACGACTCGTTGCAGGGTAAGATGTCTGAAACAAGGAGAGTCCCCGGGCACTTTGTCCTTTCCAGCTACTCCAGTGGAGCACCAGAAGAGGAAACCTACAGTAACCACCAAACAATTCCAGACACCGCAGAGCAAATGGAGTTCAATATCAGGTATCATGCTGCATTAATACTTCTGTCCTTCCTGTCGCTTATCTCTCCCCCCCCTTTTCCCCCATATACAAAGCCCCAGACTTTCAAGAAGACTTTGCTAAGCCAAATAATCATAGTGAATACTACTGGAAATTGAATAGATGCAAGTGTAGATAACCTGTAGTGCTTAATACTGACCACACAAGATTATACTGCATTAAGTCTGTAAGTTTTTATCCTGCACAGGGACACAGATGTGGCTCTTCATTAGAAATCCACCTGTTACAGCAAGCAGCTGAGGAAGCCATTTTTACATAATTCTCCAGGCGCCTCTCATAACGAACTGATGGTGCTGCTTTGGGTTTTTCTTAATCCCATACATATTTTCCAGTTCAAGAGCTAGGGGCTGCCTTTCACCCATCTGTGAAAATTCCTTTCTGTGTTTTGTTTGTAGTTGGACTGACCAAACCAAACCCAAGTTTTTTTAAGCAGATCTCTAGAATTAAGCTCTTAAGACCACTTACTATTCAGCAGATCTCATAAACAAGATCTCAGCAGAAATTCAAGCTATAATAAAAATGCATAGTCATACTATTTTTTTACCAAAACAAAAAATCTGAATTAGCTAAGTCAAGTTTGAAATTTTCAGCAGAAAAGTGTAGACAGTTTTTGGCACCAGCGTGTACCACAGACATTGTAGTTCAAGGTTTTACACACTCCAGGACCTGCCTAAGAGCCTTTAGGTTTTGGTCAGTTCATACCCTGGTGCCACCCATTAGCTGGAGACCAACACTGCATTGTTGAAATCACTGGTGTAAACCTGTTGGATGACAAAGCCAGTGGTTATGTAAGATGAAGTATTTTCAAAGGTCTGATGTGAAGGTTGTTTCAGTATCTTGACTTTAGGGGGACAAAAAACCAAAACAACCACCCCAAACCAGAATTTCATTGCCTTGTATAAAGAAATGAGATGCCTAAAAAAACAGCATGTTTTCTCAAGAGTGCCAGATATGCAGCTTTTTATGAAAACAGCAAAGCACTTCTGTATGCTTCTAAATAGAGGTGTAAGATGCCTTATCAATAAACCCATAAATAACAGGGAAAGAAACCCTGAACATTTCTCTTTTACATGCCCAGTTTATTCCAGCTGCTAGGGGAGTAACTGTGTCAGACATTCACAAAGTGCTTTTTAAAGAACTGCAGTTGCAGTATTTTCCCCTAATGTACCCATTCCAAATGCCTTACAGCTCAGCTACCCAGGTTGGCCGTCAGCTAGCCCTGATTGGGGATGAATTTAATAGGAGGTACCACAGGAAGTTTGAAGACACGCTGCTTCACCTGGCACATGGGTAAGTTACCTTCCAGGCACTGTCAAATCCTTTTTAAAAGCATGTGAGATGGATAGATAATTGGTACTGTTTTGTTACATAAACAGTAAGGTTTCTGTACACAAAGTAAAAAATTTTATTGCTACTACTGCTGCTTCATACAGCAGCTAAAACACCAAAACAGGTACTGCAGCTTGTTTTACAAGGAAGAGCTTTATAATGCAAATTGTTGCCACAGACTACAGCCATTTACAGTCAAAGGCTTAAATATGGTTTCTGGGTATTTAAAGTTTCACAGTACCACAGTAGTTTTCTAGGTTAGACAGTGTCTTTAAGCACAACTAAGCAATGAGAGGTCTGCAGCCTAGTAAGTGTGATGCTTCAGGGATGAACATGTTACTGCATGCACTACAAGAAAATGTGGCTAGAGTAATCTGAATTGCCTTTTATCTGCTGTGAGCTGACACGCTTGTCACAGAGCCATTAACTGCCAGTTAAATGCCGTACAGTAACGTCCTAACCCAAGATACATAATCTGTGCCTGAACCCCCAAGTACTTACGTGTAGTTCGACCTCTTCTCGCTTCAGAAAGATGATGGTCACTTCTTGCAGACTTGCAGAGAATGCAGTTTTCTGCTGCCTGCTGCCAGTCCTACACTGCTGCCCTGAATGGTGATTCATAAGAGGTCAACAGCTCTCCCTGGGTTGCGCTGTCCTCAGTTTGAAACAATGGCAAAGGCACAAGGTTGCATGTTTCCTTGTCTGATGTTACTGCTTATTAATTCTGAAACCAAATTATCTCTAGCTTTCAAAGCCCTATGAAGTTGCCAGGTCTTCTTCCTAAGTATTGAGAGAAATATACATGTACATATAGACAGGAACATACTAGAGTTTTAGATTTCTTCTTGTAGCTTTCTAAATCTTGGTGTTTTATTTGCCAATTTTTAAAATAAATTTTCTATCCCCCTGGGGTTGTTTTTCTTTTTTTTTTTTTTTTTTTAATCTTCAGGGTTGCTATCAGTGTTTTCCAGACATGGAATATTATTAGAAGTGTTATAAGAAGCTTTGGAACTCTTTTGAACAATAACTGGACAAAGAGGATCGTTGATTATGGAAACTGGGTATGCGCTCTCTGTTTTCTCCCACCTTTTGGTTGACAACTAGGTAACAGCAATGCCTGACTTCCATGGAAGTGTCAATGAGTAAAGCATACAGTGCCGCTCTAGTTTTGGGGTTATTCCTTAGCTTGTTAGTGTCCCCCTGTTGCCCTGGTTTTAATTTTCAGGCTGAAACTTCTCATTTATAGGCAGAACATGCCAAATGTCTGCAGACAGCTGCCCAAGTTCCACACAGCTCATGGGGCTCCCCCACCATAAGCAGCTGTAAGGGTCTACTGTAGGGGAGATCAGCAGGCCTTCTGCCAGTGGTGTTTCACCATGTTTACTGCTGAGGAAAGAGGATTCTTTAGAGGCTGGATATAACCCTGCCACTGCAGCATTCACAGCAGCCACAGACCATATTCTCAATTTCACACTAACTGTGCACGGAGGCATTTTTGTTAGCTTTCCTGCACCACCTTTTTTGCTGCTTTGTTATTTCTAATTCCCTTCCCTTTTCTTTCCACAGATTTGCAGGCTTCCTTTTAGGTGCGTCTGCCAGAAGCTGGTGCCTGCAGTGTTGCTGGTTGTTGCCTTTTGGTGGGCCGTGAATTATGGACTGCAGAATTAACACAGAATTACAATAGGAGGTCATTGCTGGACTCTGACCAATATCATTAACACCCAGGTGGTGGCAGTCGGTTTGTTTTTCAAATTTACACTGATAAAAATCTCTTTTATATTTAAAACCTAGGCTAGTGCTGGGTCACTGCTGTTTCATACCTTTTTTAAAGAAAAACATTTAAAATAAGGAGGTTGTTGCTGGATAACTGCCTGACTTGCTAGTTTTGAAATGTGACTCCAGGCAATTAGAAAGTCTGTCTTTTTTGAGTTTGTTTTACTGCAGTATAAAGTGTCTATTTCATATAAATGAGTTTCTTAAAGAGATTCTGGATGTGAGGAGGACTGAAGGCATGCTGGCCATCCTTTAAATTTTAACACTGTAAAAGCAATAGTAAAGATTAAAACCATGATACTTTTTTTAAAAATTAAATTGTTGCTTCAAATGTTTCACAGTGTTATCTACTTTATTTTCCAAGACTGTGCTATCACACATTACTAACAATGTCTTGTCTTGTGCATTTCGCTACCTAAGACTACGGGACAGGCTTGATTTGATTCTTAGGTAGTAAAATTAGCATATGGATAGTTTATTGGAAGAAGAAAGGTTAGGATGAACTAGAAAGCAATTTGGTTGGGTTGGTAGTGCTTGAGAGCCACTCAAGCCAAACTATTACTTTTACAGAATTTGTCAGAAATCTACTAATAGCTTTTATATTCTTCTGCCTCTTTTCAAAGTAAAACTTTTTGAGTTACCCAGAAAAAAAAAAAAAATCAAGAATTTGACTGAATTTGGAACAGAGATTTTCTTGGTGACACGTCTTTTTGAAAGGCATGTGCTTAGGGGTAAAGAGATGCCTAAGGGAAACCTGAGCACAGCTTGCAGGATGGAGATGGTGTGTCACCCCTGCATAGTCCATAGACAGCCATCAGGACACAGGTGAGTTTCAGCTCTCGACAGTGCGCCCCAACCATATGAAGTTCCTCTCTCTATCTGGGTGCATCTTCCCTATTCTTTGCTGTTGAAGCTGTCTTTCACTGTACACAGTTACAGACTCTTGAGAAAAAATGAAAGTGCATCTCTGTGGTTTGGGTATTCCCCTCAGTAGTGGGATACCTGCTTCCTGCCTAGGTGAGCAACTACTACAGTTAGCACACTTTTGAAACAGGAAAATATAATATGTAATGGCCTGGTGATTTCAGCACTCATCTGAGGGGTAGGAGTTTCAAGTTCAAGTCCCTGCTTTACATCAGAGAAGCAACTGGAACCACTCTTCAGTGGAGACAAATGCCAAACCCAGTCAAGCTTAACCAGATTAAGGAACTTGTTTCCTCTCTTTCATGAATGGTGCCCAAATCCCATTATGATGCCAACGACCCGTCTCAAGAAACTCTTAAAAAGGCTCAACTGGAGTATTTCATTCAACCATTTCATGTTAAAAGACTCTGAAACACCTCTGATTGACTTGAAATGCAGAGCAAAACCAAAATAGGCAAAGAAGGTCCATAGAGAACAATAGCTCCAGTATACCTTGGAATTTCACATAGCAGCAGCATGTATTCTAGTGTCCCCTTTTTTCAAAATGCCCTCAGGCTGACTTGCCCATCAGCAGCAGACAGGCAGGTTTTTCCTAGAAAAGAATGATGAGCACACTGGAAACTTAGTCTCTCTTGGGCAAGAAGCTGGCCTGCTGAATTGCCTGTAAAATCAAAACCCAGCCTGAAAATTCGTGAGCAGATTGACTGCTCTGTTCAACTCCATAACAGCAGCATGACAGAATTTATGTTAAAGTTACTATTATTTAGTGAAAGGTAGAAATTCCCACCAAGCAGGTCTAATAAACAATCTGTGCACATGTAACAGAAGTACCCGTTGCCAAAAAAATCGATTCTGAATTGGCAGAATCACTTAAACACTACAAAAAAAAAATCAGTTATTTCTAGAAAAATCGTCTTTATGCCCAGGGGAGCAATGATAAATGGGCGACTGCTGCACTGCCTGTTCCCTCTGAGAGCTGTGTGGGGTGACTCTGCTTTTTCATACTCTCGCAATGAATAAGCTTAACATTTTGAATCGCAAGAGAGGGGAAGTTCAGCATCCAGCATGTATGGAGGAAAACAGAGTCTCAAGGAATATAGAAATGGAATCAAACCAATGAAGCAAGTGAAACACAAACAGCATCTGCAACAAGAATCGGTGCAAACTGGTCATTACTGAGAGGCTCCTCTTACCTGTGGAGCTGAGCAAAGAGGCTCCGTGCTGTGACTCACGAGACCCAAATTTAATTATCTTTGTTTTTTTACTGCACACTTCCTCATGTGACAGAGTTTACGGCACTTGATTTTTTTTCCTCCCACATCCTGTTTCTGCTTGTTTCTAGATGAAGGAACCGTGCTGGCTTTTCATGTCTTAAAACATTCAGTTTCCAGAAGCAGAAGGGATAGATGAGTAAGCACGTAAAAGAAATGCAGATAACAGTACTAAGATCCAGGATATTTCATTACTCCACACGCTGCTATTCTCTACCAAACCACAGGCAAGTTTCACAACACAGCAGACACCCTCCTGCTCATCTACAGCTATACCACCAATGTGATGGCATGCTGCCAGGCACTACGAGAAATCAAGCCCCAAACGCTCTCAATTCAGAAGTATATAGGCCTCCATCACACTTTTTAAGCTGATATAAATTGCCACCAAGATGCCAAGCTCAGTTCCAACTATCATAAAAGCTGGTTTCAAAGTAATGTGGCATTTGGTCTTAAAAGATGTAGTCTGAAGCTTCTCACAGCACATAATTCAGCATTTAGCAATATGAATGGGATTTAATTGAGATATTCTAACCATCTAACTAGTGATAACTCTGGTACACTTACGGAACTGTAAGCACCTCACATGGAACACAGGAGCCTTCACTTAAGTAATTTTGTTGACAGTGATGCCAGCCCTTAACTGGCAACCGCTGGTACTCCAGCGATTAGGCTGACAAATTCCTCTGGATTTTACTAATCGTTAATGTTTACACATGCCAAAAGTGGAATTTGTACTGTAAAGGTAGGCTCAGCTAACAATTTCAGGTCATGAAAATAACTGCTGAATAATACACTCTACTAAGCGATCATAATTTAATTGAGGCCAGTATTTTTTAATTCACTTTTCAGAAATGTGAAATTATGAAATGATTAATACTGTAACAAAGTTATTCTGCATTTCATAATATATTACTGAAGATATGCATGGTTATTTAAGTAATAATAACCATGTAATAATAACCAATCCTGAATTCTGTTAAACATATCATTAAAATACCAAAAATAAAACAGGAAAAAAGCTAGAGTTCAGTTGGAGCTCTTGGTCACACTTCAACACGCACCATGGAACCTTTTCTTGCATGTTTGTTCATGATTCCCTACCAAATACCACCCTCTCCTAGAGCTTCTTGTGCCTCTTGCAGACCAAGCAAGCCCACGTTTTCTACACACCCTGTGGGTGTCTTTGCTCAGGCAGTGCCATGCTGTAGAATGACTGGACCTCTTTTAATAAACCAAAGGCTGGCTACAGAATCCAAACCCAAGAATGTGGTGTTAATGCCATTCTAAGTGTCCCCTCAAGCACTGCAGGCACTAGGGAAGGTGCTGGAGCTAGTGTGTACTCCCTCAGAGCCTGCCAGCTCCGGAACTCACCACCAGCCCCGACCCATCCAAGGACACACAGTGCCCACAAGGGAACTGGAAAGCTCTTCCTAGGGGCGCTCTGGAGAACCCACTCCTCTGCAGCTCATCACCTGCTTCCGGAAAACATCTGAGCTGGCAAAACACAGCCAGGAATATGGAGAGAACTGAAATACCAGCATTCAAACTCTCCTCCCCACCACTCTGTCACCACAGGGTTCACTCTGCACAAAGGTGCCTCCAACAAGATCTTTCTGCAAAGTTCCCAGAAGCTGTTTCCTGCTTCTGTCAAGAAAAGTCACCCAAAGGCTAATTCAGCCTACGCAGCCTCTGAAGCTCACGCAGGGACAGCAGCCCTGCACTTCAGCGAAACATTTCTTGTGTAACTTCACACAACCAACACTGGACAGCTGGAGGGAAAATCAGCTCTGTTTATGTGTGGACTATAGGCCAGTGATCATAGAATCAGCCAGATTGGAAAAGACCTTTAAGATCATCAAGTCCAACCATTACCCCAGCACTGCCAAGCACACCACTAAACCATGTCACTGAGGGCCTCATCTGCACAGGTTTTTGAATGCTTCCAGGAACAGATTCTACCAGCTCCCTGCACAGCCCGTTCAATACCTGATCACTCTCCTGGTGAAGGAATTATTTTTAATACCCAGTCTAAACCTCAAATGGTGCAGCTTGAGGCCGTTACCTCTTGTCCTATCACTTGTTACTTGGGAGAAGAGAATGACATCCTCCTCTCTCCATCCTCCTTTCAGGTAGTTGTAGAGAAAAATAATGTTCCCCTGAGCCTTCTCTTCTCCAGACTAAACAATCCCTTCACCCCACAACATTAAAAATAACAGGAGAAGCTCTAGTTTATTTATAGCTTAACATGAAGAAAACTCTGTTCCTCATAACGTCTTCTGCCTGGCAAGAATTTTACACAGATAAGAGTCCTGCAAACCAAGTGAGGTAAGAAACAGGAACATCAACGTACCAAAATCTGTAACAAACAGTTGGCTCCTCTCAACGCACCCTCAAGCCCAGCGCAAAGCCCTCAGCAACCTGGAGCCAACAGCCTGGCTCCTGTATCTCCATGTGGATACAAGATACAGTACACAGCCAAAGCTACATTCAACTTGAGTTCATTCCAGCACCAACCCCTCCCTCCCCCACCCCCCACCCCCCCAGTTACACAGGAAAAAGAGAGGGGAAAGCTGCTTGCAGGACTGAGGCCAAACAGGCGACTGTCTGGCATCTTTATTGGCAGTTCTGCAGTCCTGACACAGATGGAAGAGCCAGACTTTGCTCTCCCCTTCCAAACCTGAGACACACAAAGAAAGGAAAATGTTCATCTGGATTACATGCACAGTGCTCTTTTCATCACAGGAAGCTACAAATGTTTAAGACTTCCTCTTCCGGGAGCACAGTTAGTTTATGCTTTTTAAAATTTAGGTAGAAAAAAACAAGTTGCATGGACTTTTTCTCAAAAGGCTACTTAGGTCTTTGCTGCTTCCTCATCTTCCAGAGCATCTACATGGTTATATTGTTTCCAGGCCTTTAAATTACACTTTTTGAGAACAGCTCCTAGTTGCTTCCCAGGCCCCACTTCATACGTGTAAGGGAATTCTGTTCCTTGCTGTCTTTCATATACAGCATGCATGGTCTGCTCCCACAAAACGGGTGAAACCAGCTGCTTCACTAACAGCTTCCGAATGTGCTTTGAGTGCATGTACTTTTTGCCATCAACATTGGAATAGACACAGACCAGCGGTTTCTCAATCTCAATCGAGTTTAGGGCTTCAGCCAGTGGCTCTGCCGCTGGTTCCATAAGTCTGGTATGAAAAGCCCCACTGACCGGAAGCATTTTTGTACGTGTAAAATAATATTTTCGGGCATTCTCCTGCAAAAACTCCAAAGCCTATAAGAGAGAGAGAGAAGTGAGAGTCTTGCATGACAAAGGTTTACCCAGTTCACCCCACAAGAACCACCTCATTGTGGCAAAGGGATTCCTTTCCCTACCCAACAACTGAGGGCAAACGAAGGCCGTACATAACTTCCACGCAGATGCACAAAGTGAAAGTTTTAAGTAAAAAAAAAAAGAGAAATGTTAAACTCAGCTGAAGGGATAGTTATTTGGAAGCAATACCTGTAAGTGTCCTGCAATGACTCTGCTGTCTGGAAACAAATAGTTTGAAATCTCACACACGGGGTTTTCTATACCCAGCGACTCGCAGTGTTTACGGGCTTCCAAGCAGGCAAATTTGTAATTTGCCTCTCGCCGACCGATAACCGAGAGCATTCCGCTGGGGACGGCTTCCGACGCCTTTTGCATGGCTTCGGCGCGCACTTTGACCGCGTACAGCGCTAAGGAGAGAAAGAGAGATGCTCGGTAAACAGGAGGCCCGAGAAGCCAACACCGTCTTGCATCTGCGGCGCAAGAAAGGGCGGCTGTTTACTCTTATGAAACGTCAACACTTTTAATGCTGTATTACACAGAGTGAACAGTTGAAGTAGAAAAAAAGATATAACCTCCAATTAAAAAACAAAACCAAAAGCGTGAGGGACACAGTGTGATGCTTTGGGAAAAGCACAGGGCAGAGGGGAGACCCTTATGGGGGTTCAGCACATTCCCCGGGCACCTTCGGCAAAGCCCATGGCTCCAGCGAAGACCAGCGCCGCGAACTCCCCCACGCTGTACCCCGCCGCCGCCACGCAGTTCGCCACCACCTGCACGGAGACAGACCCGAGGCCACACATCAGCCGGCTCCCGCGGGGGGCTGCCGGGACCGCCCCGCGTCCCACTGCGACTCGGGTGCCGCCGAGACCGGGCCCCGGCCTCCCCGCCATGGGGCCCGACCTCACCCCCCCCCTCTTCGCCCCGCCGCTCCCTCACTTCAGGCCGCTGGTGGTTGAGCTTCTGCACGGCGGCCAGGGAGGCGACGAACACGGCGGGCTGGCAGTGCCGGGTGCGGTCCAGCTCGTCCTGCGGCCCCTCCAGGCAGAGGGAGAGCAGGTCGTAGCCCAGCACCTTCTCTGCCAGGGTGTACATGTCCCGCACGCCGGGGTACCGGAGCAGCCCGCGGCCCATCCCCACCAACTGGCTGCCCTGCCCGGGGAAGAGCAGCACCGTGCCCTCCCGGGGGGAACGCCGCTCCCGCCTCGCCGCCGCCGCGTCCGGCTCCTCGCCCCCCACCGAGCTCTGCAGCAGGTCGCTCAGGGTCACCGCCCGGTCCCCACCGCCGGGGCGGGAGCTGCCCCGCCGCCGCGGTACGCCGCGGAGGCCGCCGCGCCCTCTGCAGCCACCAAGCCGCCATGTCGCCGCGGCCCAGCTGCCCATGGCCTCCGCCCGCCCGCCCGCGCCGCCGCGCCCCGCGTTGCCACGGGAACCGGGCGGCCCCCGCCGGCAACCGCCCTCCTGCCGGGCGCCGGGAGACAGCAAGCGGAGAGAGGGAGGGAGGCCGCCCCGGCGCTCGCCGCCCTAGGCCTGGCCTGCGCCTCACCACACCACAGCACACTACACCGCTCCTCCCGCCCTGCGCCGGGGGGAGGCCGCTCCTCGAGGCGGGCTCAGCCGGTGGGAGGGGCGCGGACGGGCCGGAGGGCGGGCGCTGCCGCCTCACGGCGTAGGAGGAGCGACAGGCGGCGGCAGCGCGGGAACAGAGGTAACGCCGGCTCTGACTGAGGGACTGGACGGGAAGGAAAAAGCCGGCGGAGGGTCCGCTGCGGCCGCGGCCGGGGCTGAGGGGTCGGAGTCCGGCGGGACCCCACGGGCAGGCCGGGCCGGGGCACCGCGCGTCGCGGCTCTGCCGGCGGAGCTCGCCGGTCGCGTACAGCTGTCCAGCTGTGCAGCCCCCGGTCAGAGGCGGTGGGTGAACCCGCTGCCTGGGCCTTTGGGAGTCCTGCTTCTCTGCCTCCTCACACGGCCCACCTGCGCCCTGGGCACCCCGGCGACGGCCAGTTCAGGCCGCTCTTACCCTGACGGTGTTTTCTTTCAAGGGTCTCTGTAATTTGCTTTTAATTTGACATCTTTAGAAGGGCGAAAGAAAGGACTTTTTTCCTTCTGAGTTTACAAGTAATGCTTATAAATCAGCACAAAATGCACGTTACTAATTCGAGCATTCCATGGCAAGATCATAAAAAAACAAGGTGAAAGTTGCCATGCTAAAGTTGCAGTTGTGCAAGGACTTTGCATAACTTAAGGTTATGAAACTGTCTAGCTGGGAGTTAGACCTCATGGGGCAGTTCAGTAAAAGAGACTGTAGTAGTGATACGCAGACCCCCTGTACATTGGTCAACTCTCTGCATCACTAGTGTAACTTGGGAGAAGGAAAATGGGTCAGAATAGCAAGAAGTTGTTGAATTTTAGTTCAGATCAATTCAGAAGAAACCCGATGAGATTTACTCACTTTCCTAATCTCTGTTCTGTGCTGCTTCGTAACAGGATTCCCCCCCTTTCTGTAAGCCTCCAGGTACAAGAGCTGGAAAAGCCAGTGACTTTCTCGGGTTAGCTGAACTGTGTGGGCAGCAATACGGGTTATACATATCACCTGTATCACCACATCCCACTCTGTGCCTGCATCTACCAACAGTGCAAGCAGCAATACCGCTTGTGCTAAGGCGAGCTGAGATGCTGGATGACAAGTTACCACGTGGGCCAGTGGAGGTGGCACCTCAGGGAGAACTGAGGGTAACGACTGCACTCATTGTGTTGAGTGGGTGTGCTGGAGCTTCAGGCACCTTTACAGCCAGCTCCCTCGTAGGCCACCTCGTAGCAGGGGTGCCCCTTCTGCCTAGGCTGCCAGGTTAGAGTTTGTGCCACCGGGTGCCCATCAGGCCTTGGGAAAAGTCACGGGGGTGACCTTCACATCTGCTGCATTCAGAGGCAAAGACCAGGGCAGGGACCAGTTCCTGCAAACCACTGGCCCCCACTGCAGCCTGGGTAGTAACACTGTGGCTGTTACCAAGGGCACCTCAGTACAGCCACTTTGTCTCTGGTTCACTGTAAAGGGAGCAGACTGCTTGTAGAGCACTTGAGACTTACCAGTAGTGATGCCCCATGAACGTCCTCTTGCTACTGAAGCGTGCCTTGGATGTGGCGCTTGTGATATTTTAACCTGTTAAAGCAAGCTGAAGAGAGTCAGGCCTAGGCAGAACGTAAACTGAATATCCAGAATATAGGAGAACCAGCCTTTTCAAAAATAGGTGTAGTGGTTGCCCAGAGAAGCTGTGACTGCCCCATCCCTGGAAGCATTCAAGGACAGGTTGGATGGGGCTTTGAGCAACCTGGTCTAGTGGAAGGTGTTCCTGCTCCTGGAAGGGAGGATAGAACCCAATGATCTTCAAGGTCCCTTCCAGCCAACTGTTTT